ATGTTTATTGTGACTAGCGTGAATGGGTAAGCTTCGTTTCGACTATGAGCAGTTATCACTGTAAACAATGTTAAATTATTCTTCACATGCTCAGTTTATTTTTTGAGAACAATTATTTAAAAATAAAATCTCTCAGTCAATCAGAAACTCGGATTCATGCCTTCAGGGAAAGTCATGTTTGGACGCTCACATCGATTTGTTTTTCGTTCGGTGGGCTGATGCCTTCGGTGTAGCTTTTGCATCTTACGACATAGAAATCATCTGAATCTTCTTTCTACCTCTCTTTCTTTTCACACCACGCATAATGTAATGATAAAAATTAAGAAAAAACGCTGAGGAAATATAATGTTTGGTTTGCTAGCGAGCGAGAACTGATTTGAGAATAATTGCACATGCGCGTGAATTGAATGAACTATGACCCGTACAATCTCGATTTGCATATTGTCAATCAAAGGTCTTGTTATTTGGTTACTCATGCAAATTAGGCAATTGGACATAAACATTGCCACGTGTGAGTGTTTTTTATTTTTAACTAGAAAATAAACAGCAATTTTAACGGTGTTCCAATAAGAATTCATTGGTCAAATTTTCACAGAATGTTCTTTAGATAAAAATCTATATAAAAAACGAAAAAAACTATTTTTGATTGAAATTCACAAATAAAGTGCATCTCTACCTTAATATAAAAGCAGATGGAAGTGCATAAGAAACTAATCAGCAGAGGTAGTGATCATGTAACCTAAGTGTATGTTAAATTTTCTTTGAACTGGATTGCAGTGTTCATTCCAGAATATTGTCTCTGATTGGCTGCCAATTTGCATATTAATTTGCATACTAATTAACATATTGTAGTTGTATAAAAATAATATTCGGAGTTTTGAAAAAAAAAATGATGACTATTAAGTCAACATCATTAAAATTGAGGATTACATGAATTTTGACCCCCTCCCTAATATTGTTTCACATATCCCTTAATAGTTTCGCACGTGTGCTAGTACTAAATTTGCATAACGCACAATATCAACAATGAAAAACATGGCCACCGTTAAATCCATCTCTCCATCAAGGTCCGTAATTTATTTTCCTGCTCATAATGGAGATAAATTATGGTAGCTAAACATTAAAATTGTCACCCTGACTTCAGTACCGAAATAAATAGCTGATTGGGAAAATGTGTCTCTGTTGACATTGGTTTGATTTACAGATAAACTTTAACACCAGTAGGTCCCAGTATTGGTCACAAGTGTAGTAACACACTCAGGTATCATATTTACTTCAAAGGTAATTTAAAAGTGGTGATAGATTAATTGATATTGAATTACAGTACTTCTCAATTTCATCATTGCTTTCAAGCAGTCACGGTTGGCCGAACTTGACTTGTGTTTTCTTGATAATTCTAGTCTAATATGTTGTCACGAAACGAAGTTTCACACTTCCTTTCAATCTGCTAGCAGTTGAACACCGGAAATAGCAATCGTGCATAACAGTCACCATCAGCGTGTTCTAAACTTTTACGTTTTTATTATTCCAGTATTTTATATGCCAAAAGTTATTCCCAAGCCTCCTAAATGACGAGATAAACTTTCGATTTACACGTTTCATAACAAGTTCTTGAACTAATAGCAGGACTGTTTTTCTGGCAAAATGTGACACTGTGCGATCGCTAGTTTCTCACCAAAGTCAGGACACAAAAGGATAAATCAAAGTTCATAATAAATAACATAAAGCACAGTTTCTTACCTTTGAGATAGAATTTAATCTATATAAGCCTTGTGCAAAGAAAGATACAGTCTCGGAATACAATATCCTCAGACGAAAACGACACCAATTTCCTCAGCAGTTAGACTGGCGCATGCGCAATACGGTATGCCAGTTCTCTTGCGAGATGTGGTTAAAACTGGAATTTTTCTGCATTTTTACTAGTAAAATGTTGAAAATCACAGAAAAACAGTGAAACTTTGGCGAATCAAAAAATACTTGGCGTGCCTATGTATGAGAATTACATATGAATTACATTGAGAATTACATGTACATATGCACCAACTTGGAAAAACATTGGACAGAGCATATCAAAGTTATAAGAGGTAAAAGACAGACAGACGGACAGACGGACAGACAAACGGAAGCCAATCTATAAGCCTTTGTCTGCGAAGGCTGATAAAAATTATCATAAAGCATGAGAAAAAAGTTTCCGTTGGATTCTAGAATTAACAATTATGACATACATTTCCTTTCTTATCCTTTTCTTCATCTATGGGCAAGGTGAAAATGATAAATATGAACTTCAAGGTACTCACTTAAAGAATGGCTTTTGTTGATGCACTGCATAGAATCTTTGAGCATCAGTTCTACTGAGTTGAGCCATTATAGCTTTACTCATATGAAATCCATCACTGAATATCATATCCATAATGTGACCTACTTTAGAAACAGCATCTGGTTTTATCATTGCTATAGTTCTGAAAATAAAGGAGGAAACTGTTAACAGAAATAAATAAATTAACATTTATCTGTAACATATAGCACATAACCTGCTATATAATAAGTTAACATGAGAATATGTCTTACTTTTCAAGAGTGGAACTGAGTTTCTTTTTAGTGGCCTCATCACCGTAATCAACAAATTTAAGTTGTCTTGAATGTATATTGATATTAGCACCTATGTGTAGGTCTGACAGCTCCAGTTGATCATATTTTGAACGCTTCAAAAAAATTCTTCTGTTCTTTATATCATACTACAAAAAAAAAGTCATAATAGTTCATTGTACACAAACTGACAATCCTTGTATACAGTGTATACTGGATACCGCACCATTATGGAACAAGATTACACAGATAAGCATGGTAATTTGTTTCAGACTAATTTAACACTTTTCAAAATCGATACTAAAATAATTTACTTTATGTCATAAGCACTCATGCTCAACAAAATTGCATGGCTTGTTTTAAGGATAAGCTTATCAAGTTCAAGCCCTGTATTATGGTTCCCATCAATGCTGAAGTGTTCCACACATTTTGATCAAGAATGTGTATCATTCACAGTATGCTTTCAACGCATGCATTTAATGGCGTATTCAATACCATAGGAAATAACTAATCTACTGCGAAAATTATCTATGCTTGTGTAACAGCACATATTGTTTGTGAAACCAAACTTAGAGACTCATAATTAGTTGTTTAAAAGCCTATTGGTGCATTATAATGACATCCATTAAACATAGAACAGAATTAGGAATACTGTGCTTACAAAGAACCATTGGTGTGACAGGAAGTGGGTCCAACAGTCAAACATAAAACTTACCTGTACTGACAGTAAGTTGGTCTGACATTTATTGATCTGACAGTGCTTTTGGTCTAGTAGTGTTTGGCTGAAAGTGCATAGAGCTTTGTCTAACTGTGAATTGACCCAATACTGGTTTGGTCTGAGATGCAGTATTTCAGTAAACAAAATCATCTTTATTTATAATTAAGTGACTTGCACCATATTATTAAAAATACTGACAAGTTCACATACCATCTCAACTGTATTATCCTTTGTATAATAAAGAAACTGATATCTTCTTATGAGAGCAGCATGAGGATCATACCACTCCACAATAAAATTCAACCTGTCATCCATATTAGCCTGAAAAACAAAACATGAAATACACTATATAGAGGCAATGTTCAATGTTGTGTCAATTGATTATAGTTCCTCCACTGCATTAATATCGAAACCTGGACAAAACGTTGTGAAATCATTATGATCTCAACATACACAGCTTGAATTTTAAAATAATTCTTGAAAGTATACTTGGAAATGATAGTAGTTGTAAAGTACAGTTCTACGCCAGTTTTGCCATTACTTGCAGTTATTCACAAATAGATCTACAAATAATAATCTACATTGCTCACATTGTGCAAGTTATACATGTATATAGAAAAAGGATGACTTTATCAAAACAAAATGGAAAACATTTCAAGATTAAGGTAGCGAGAAGGTTTTGTGACGTTTTTAAATAAAACATTCTCTGTCTGTTGTCTCGTTCAGAACAGTAATTTAGGTTATATATATCAAAAGACTAAGTATAGAGGTGCAAGTTCGCACAAACTGGACAGACATTGTTTACATAATTATCACGTGACATCAAAAATGGCGAACCTTGTAAAAATGACTAAGTACGCGATTGCGAGAGCACACTGCGGAATTTCCTGGTGAAATTTAAGTTATGCATTGTCCGTAATCAAGTCCATTGAAATGCGTCTCCGATAATCAAAAGACCTATTCCGATTTCTATGCAGGTTTGCTTTTTTGTCCCCAAATTATTTCATACTTGGCACCTTTAACAGACTATTATTCTGTGACAAAGCATTTTCTTTAAAAACCCAGACATATTTCGCACCATCATTATCTTTTTAACGATAACTGCGAGTTTGAATGTCCTAGTCCGAACGCACTTGATTTGGCGGCGGTCCCAATGAGTCGTTCTCGATCAAAACTTCAACTCGAGAAAAACGCGAAAAACAGTTTTGGTTAATAAAACACTGTAGATTTGCTGCATTATTATAAATATACACTAAAAA